TAATAAAAATTTAAAACTTAGAGAAATCTGTATGTCTGACACATTCTATAATATTCTTAAAATAAAAAAAAAATGTGTAATACAAATTAAAAACTCTGTATGTCTGATACATTCTAGAATATTTTTAAAATAATAAAAAGATATATATGTAATAAAAATTAAAAATTTACAGAAGAAACCTGTATGTCTGAACATTCTAGAATATTCTTAAAATAATATAAATATGTATGTCGGACACATTCAAGAATATTTTTAAAATAATAAAAAAAAATATGTGTAATAAAAATTAAAAACTTAAAGAAATCCTGACCAATTCTAGAATATTTTTAAAATAATAAAAAAATGTGTAATAAAAATTAAAAACTTACACACATTCTAGAATATTCTTAAAATAATAATAAAATATATGTGTAATAAAAATTAAAAACTTACGCTAAAACATTATATGTCTGACACATTTTAGAATATTTTTAAAATAATAAAAAATATATGTGTAATAAAAATTAAAAACTTACATAAATCTGTATATCTGACAGATTCTAGAATATTCTTAAACGAGCTTGTAAACCCGTGCGATGCACGGTTTGTATAAATTGTTGAAATAGTATTAAATAAATAATTAATTATAGTATTGGAAAATATTTTGTAGAATGATACAAATATTCTTAAGATTAGTCAACGATTAACATATGACCAATTTCTTTTATTGTGTCCATGAAGATATAATTAGTACTATACATATATAAACACAATCTATAAATATGTTAATAAAATCTCGTACTAATTATATATCATTTCATGTTATATAAGTATGCTAAAATAATTAACAATGAAATAATATATATATATATATGTATACGTGTAAAATATGTCTGATTTTGTAAATTTTTTAAATAGAATAGTTGATATCGAAAGATAAATTGAAATAATTTGTTTGACAATTTTAAAGTTATCAATCTTAAATAAACTTAACAAATATAAATCAATTTTATTAAATTTCTAATATTTTACACGTACTACCAACTCAAAACCCTTTATTTCATATGTCTCTCCAATTAACAAATATTTTATTTATCTTTCGATATCAACTATTAAATATTATTAAATTTATCAAGAAAAAAATAATTGTAAAATAAATAAGATCTTGCAAAATATAAATAAATATCGTATTAAATTATTTATACACTATAAAAAAAGATTTAAAAATAAATACCGTGATTATATATCTTCTCCAAAATAGTAAAATAAAAAAAAAAATTATATAAAAATGATGACACAAATATGAAAAAAAAAATCATATAATAATGATATAATATGATATTTGAATGCTTCAAGAATTCAAAATCTATACAAATCAAACGAAATAATTATAAAATACTATAATATATATATAACTAATGATTTTTTTTTAACTTCAAAAAAAATCAAAATTGTAAACCTACACTTTTGCATCTTTATTTTTGTTTTTTTCTTAAATCAAAATAAATATAAAAATAAATTTCGTTGAAAAATATGAAAAAAAAAAAAGAGAATATGAGTTTTTTAAAAAAAATAAAAATTGATTTTTTTTTAACTTGAAAAACAAAATCAAAATTGTAAACCTACACTTCTGCATCTTTATTTTTGTCTTTTTCTTAAATTAAAATAAATATAAAAGTAAATTTCGTTGAAAAATATGAAAAAAAAAAATGAGAATATGAGTTTTTTTAAAAAAATAGAAATAAACTATATTAAAAATATATATATACATATCCATTAACGCTATAAAAGAAACTAAATGTATAGATTTTAAATACCTCACTATTATATAAAAATGATGATAAAAAACTGTAAAACAAAAAAATAAAATCAAAAAAATCTCAAAACGAAGGAATTAGAGACTGATATATCTCAAATACATAATATATAGACTAGCAAGTTTAATTTCGACAGTAAATGCAACTCATTAAAATAATCTGTATGTTCACTATGAATTGATTTTTTTTTTGCGACGAGTTGATAATATAAAAAATAATATTTTGTGTTAAATAATTAATTTTTTTTTATAAGTGAACGATATATTTTATATTAATGTGTATGTATTTTTGTATTGTTTTAATAATATTTATGAAATATTATTTCATTAAAAATTATAATATTATTGAAAATTTAATATACATTATATAAACTCAAATTCAAATTCAAATTCAAACTTAAATTCATTAATAAATTAACAAGTTTGGGCTAGGCTTAATAAAAGCTCTAAGTGGAGTCAAGCTGAAATATAAGATATTCAATCCACTTCAATTAAACTAACAAACCTAGTCAATATTAATTCAAACTTAATTAATTTACCGTGTATACGTCGTCATGAATATTTTTGATAATTTTATATTTGTACAAATAGGTTACGGTTTGAAACTGTCAGTTTCGATTTGTCAAAAATTAAATTAAAATTGAATCTTTTAAATTATAATTTTGATTTGTATTTTTCAATTTTAATTTCAATTTCGATTTCTATTTCAGTTTCGACGTTTAAATAGCTGCCCCTATCGATTTATATTTATTTAATGATTATTTATTAGATTATTATATGATAAAATAAAATTAGCATAACAAAATTTAGCATATAAAGTTTGTTCACTTTGTATGCGCCACGATTTTTTATAAATATTATAAAAAATATAATATATAGACATTAATATAATATTATAAATATGCAATTTGTCTATTAAAAAAATTAATAATTCAATACAAGATATTATATTTTTTATATTACTATAAAATTTATCATATTTAATATAAAAAATACATCTATTCAAAAGTTCATAATTTAAAAAATACTCTGATTTTATCCAAATATGCTGCTACATTTGCAATTAAGATATTTACAAAAGTATTTCTACATCACTTTCTCATACTCTTTTTCCTCCATATCATATTTTATTTAATTTATTTTAATAAATAAATAAATTTATATTTATATCAAAATTATTTATTTTAAAAATTAAATATAAATAAAAATATATCGATATTTATATAGTTAGGTAGATAATTAAATTTAATATAATACAAAAAATAAAAAACCTAAATAAATAATAATAAATATATAAAATAAAAAATTATGATTTTTTATACATTTCTGCACGGTTATTTAAGAGATTTTAAGTTTTTAATTTTTATTACATATTTTTTTATTATTCTATAAGTTTTTAATTTTTATTACACATATTTTTTTATTATTTTAAGAATATTGTAGAATGTGTCAGACATATAGATTTCTGTAAATTTTTAATTTTTATTACACATATATTTTTTTATTATTTTAAAAATATTCTAAAATATGTCAGACATACAAGGTGTGTTTCCTTATGTTGGGTTTGGGAAGATTGAGTTTGAGTTTGATTTTGATTTGAATTTTTTTTAAGTTTTGGGAATTTGCGTTTCTTTAGTTTAGTAGGTTTTGTTGGAGTTTGGAGAATTTTATTGGACAGTGATTTGATAGGTGATGATTGGAGTGATGAGATTTTTAATTTAATTAAAAGTAATTTATATTAAAAATAAAAGTAATGGAATATATACAAAGAGTGCATTTTTTTTCCTTTATTATTATTATTATTATTATTATTATTATTATTATTTTAATCCGTAACTAAAAAAGAACAGAATTTCAAATCTACTTCTAAGTCTTACCTACAGCTACATGCGGAAGAACAAGCGTATGCACGGCCATGCATGAGTCCGTGGTTGTTCGAAAACAACACTAAATACACCGGACGAAGAAATGCAGCCACATTTGCACGGCGGTAGTAGATTGTTGTTTGTTGTGTGCTTCCCGTAACGCTAAAAGTAGCATAATAAAATAAATCAAGCACGACCATGCTCGTTCCGTATAAGTGGTTGCTTCCCGTAGGAATTGAAGCAGAAAAACAGACCTAAATGCACTGCCGTACACAACTATCCATATTCTTCTAGCTCTTGTATGAAACCCTTAGCGAGGAATGAAGGCAACGTCAGATTGGTGTGTAAGATGGTCCTATCATAGATTTATCAAAAATTGCATGAATTTACGAAATCGATTAACCAATTAAATCCCAAATTGAAATGTAGTTAGGTTTTCCTTACTTCTTTGCGCTCAACCGCCGGAAACCCTATCCCCCGTCAACGTGCATCCCTCGAACTCCTTCGCGGCAATCCTCTGCTTCACTCGCCGACAAAACCATTAAAATCCCACGATCCTTGCTCTGCAACGAAGGGGGTGAAGAAAATTTGGGAGGAAAATAAAAAGCACGAATGGAAGATGAGAAATAATGGAAGAGGGAGAAAAAGCAAAGTAATGATGGGAAGATAAAATAGTGAAGGAGAGAGACACATCAACAGATAGGAAGTTTAGGAGGAATTATGCTAAAGAAACACACCAATAGATTTCTTTAAGTTTTTAATTTTTATTACACATATATTTTTTTTATTATTTTAAGAATATTTTAAAATATGTCAGACATACAGATTTCCGTAAGTTTTTAATTTTTATTACACATATATATTTTTATTTTTTTATGAATATTTTAGAATATGTCAGACATAAAAATTTTTGTAAGTTTTTAATTTTTATTACACATATTTTTTTTTATTATTTTAAGAATATTCTAAAATGTGTCAGACATATTGATTTTTATAAATTTTTAATTTTTATTAAACATATATTTTTTTTTATTATTATTTTAAGAATATTCTAGAATGTCAAACATACAGAAAATAGGATTACGAGTTCACTTTCACACCAACTATTTTTTACGGGACAAAATATATTAATTTATATCATGAAATAATTAATTAATATAAAAATGGAAAAGGTATTATTTATTTATGTTTTTAATAATTATTACTCATTTCTTAATATATATATATATATATTATTTTTATATTATAAAAATATAATAAAATTTAATTATAAATAAAATATTATTATTAATTATAATAGTAGTATAAAAGATACACTTTCACTCTGATAACACATTGAACATCCCACCGCAGCAGCGTCACCAGGTTAGCTTCTTCCTCTCTCTTCTTTCTTCCTCTCTCTCTCTCTCTCTCTCTTCTTCCCCCCATTCTTCACGTTTTTTGCTTCTCTTCTTCTTCTTCTCTCGGTTGCTCCGCCGCCGTGACTGCCTGCCTGACTGGTGAGGTGAGCTTTATATATATATATTTCTATAAAAAAATAAGTAAAATCTGAACCGCCTGTTTCCGGCGGATTATGATGGGAAAGGTAGAGGAAGCTCAGGATAATAGCAATGGCTTTGTTTGAAATTGTCGATGGAAGGTTTAGTTAAAATTGTCCAATAGCTCATTTTTTTTTAACGCAACCTTTTGTTTTTAAAGATAATATCGAAGAACGAACAGTCGCAAGGGTTTTCATTCCTCCGAACCTTTCCCTCTTCCCCAGTTTCTCTCCCGCAAGAAAATTCGTAGCTATTTTTCAACAATTTGATCTTATTTTCGTAGAAATCACTCTCGTGGTGGCTTCTCCACCTTCAATTTCTCACGGGCAACAAATCGTATTTCCCAAACTGTGACGAGGTAAGCAGTTCTCTCATTCTTACGGATTATTAAAGCTATTTGAAGCTTTTTTTTACACTCCCAATCTGCGTGTATATATATTTGTATGTAGTACTGTATACATACACACCGTATATATTGTTTGTTTTTTTAATTTTTAATTTTTTATTAAAGAGTTACTAAAATTTTGTATATGTTCAAAAAATACATACAGGAGATGACAGATGAGATTGTGAATTTTGTTTTTGAACTTTCATGGACATGTTTCACTGCAATAAGAAAATGATAGTGTTAAATAAGAATATTATTAGTTTTTTCAAAATAAAAAATAAAAAAAATTGATGCTATACTTATTGTTAATAATGTTTTGATAGAGGAATACTCTGATCAAGAAATGGTATTGTGCTAGTTCTGAAAAACACCAGTGAGAATTGCTGCTGGAACTAACTTCTAATGTTAGGCAACTTTTATGTTGATGCAATAAAATATTAGTTTGTGATGTGTCCATTGTGCTTGCTAATTCATTTTGTCTTTGCACTTGCCTGAGTTTTTTTTTTTTTTTTTTTATTTGTCTCTTTTCCCTGGTTTGTAGATTCTTCATATGGTTGCACTCCTTTGAGGTTATTAGACATGTTTTATATAAAATTTAAATTCTTTCCATTACAGTTTTCAGAAAATACAGTCATGAAGGATGAAATTGAAGGAGAGAAAGTGGATGATGTGGTTGATTTAGTGGATCTGTCTCCGACAAGTAACAAATCCCAGGTAATGCGAAATAACTCAATTTTGTGTACTGACATTACCGCGAATTTGACTTCACCTCAACATGCATTTCCGAGCCACTTTAGTACTGATTTTAGTGGTCCTTTATCTCCTATGCAATACTACCCCAAATGAAATAATACCATGTTTTACACAAATATATGGGACTTCTTACCACCAGGGACATCATCTGTCATATTATAGGACCCAGGCATCACAGAATAACACATTACCCTTTGATGCTAACCATCCTTCATTTCAGTGTCAAGTTCCTTCCCAAAGCAACTCTGCTATAAGGCCTGCTAAAAAAAGCCAACGCGCAAATAAGAATTGGAGTATTGACGAGGATGTTGAGTTGACTAATGCATGGTGCAATGTGCCGGCGAAGGCACAGGTTGGTGTTGGACAAAAAAAGATAAAGTTATGGGAGCGTGTATGCGAGAATTTTGTTAAGCGCATGGAAGACAAGCACAAAGTAAGTAGATTAGAAAATGAGAGGACACCTGGAGGATGTGAGAATCGGTGGATGGAAATTCGATCACAGTGTATTAAATGGTCCGCCATACGAGTTCAGACGCAACCACATTATCATAGTGGATGGAGCCCAACAGATTTTGTAAGTATATATTAAGTTTCATTTACTGTATTTTTCCAATAAATAATTTATCATCAATCCACTAACAATAGTGATTTCACAGGATCAATATTGCCGAACAAGATATTTGACTAAACATGAATCAAACTTCAAGTGTGAAGCAAGCTGGCATATACTAAAAGATCATCCGAAGTGGATGGAACTTGTTAGTGGAAAGAAATGCAAAGTAAGTGGGCAGTCAAGTACGTTTGCTAAAGAAGTTATCGGGGAGGCAAATGAGGTTCAGAGACCTGTTCAAGGCCACTCTCCAGTCACCCCTATTGACTCTAGTTCAGGGGCGGTACGTATACATACTAATTCCTCAGAAAAAGGTCCAAATCCATCAGAACTAGGAGGCCCTGCTGCAATTGATATGGAACATCCCGTTGGAGCATGTAACAAGTCAAATGATGAGCGGCAACAAAAGATACAAAGGCACGAAGAGTCTCAAGTTCAAGTTCCTTCCAAAAGCAACCTTGTTGTAGGGCCTGTTAAAAAAAATCAACGTGCAAATAAGAATTGGAGTATTGACGAGGACGTGGAGTTGACTACTGCATGGTGTAATGTGCCGACGGATGTACGAATTGGCGTTGGACAAAAATTATGGGAGCGTGTATGCGAGAATTTTGTTGTGCTCATGGAAAATAACCACAAAGTAAGCAGATCCGAAAATATTAGAACACCTGGAGGATGTGAGAATCGGTTGATGGAAATTCGAACACAATGCAGTAAATGGTCAGCCATACGAGTTGAGGCGCAACAACATTATCGTAGCGCATGTTGCTCAGCAAATTTTGTAAGTATATTTTTTAATTTTTTTTTTACTGCATTTTTCCAATAAATAATTTATTATCAATCCACTAACAGTAGTGATTTCACAGGAAGAATATTGTCGAAAAACATATTTCAATCAATACCAATCTAACTTCAAGTGTGAGGCATGCTGGAATATACTAAAAGATCATCCGAAGTGGATGGAATTTGTTAGCGGAAAGTTAAGCAAAATAAGTGGGTGGTCAAGTACGTTTGCTAAAGAAGTTGTTGGAGAGGCAAATGAGGTCCAGACACTCGTTGAAGGCCACTCTCCATTCGCACCTATTGACGGTACTTCAGGGGAAGCGCATATAAATAATTCCTCAGAGAAAAACCCGAGTCCATTAAAACTAGGAGGCCCTATTGCAACTGATTTGGAACATCTAATTGGAGTTAAGAAGACTACGGCCTGTAACAAGCCAAACAATGAGCGGCAACGAAAGATAAAGAGGCACAAAGAGTCTCAAGCCTCAATTTCTCGAACCATTTACGATGACAATCGAAAAAGAGACTTAAAGAGAGATAAGGAACATGAGACCGTGTCTAAAAGAGAGGTAACTTCAAAATTTACTGTACTTGATGTATTATTTTGAATGTTTCTTGTTACGCTAACACTTCTTTACTATTATGCCCCATAATCTCTACAGCATTCAATAAAGATTACCAAAGAATATGCAAACATAGCTACAGAGCTTGAGAATATCGGTGAAAGGTTGATGGCTGCAGTAGATAAATTGAAAGAATTGGACAAGGACAATTTAGACACCGAGGACGAAAAGAGAATGTACGTAATGCGGAAAGAGCATGTGGAACACTACAAGCGTGCTTATAACAGTAAGTATGTTCACATTTTAAAGCTACGAAACTTTTAATTAGCTGTTTGCTGAAGTTGTACATTTCTAGTGTTGAAAGCAACTCTCAAATCACTTGAAGAAGCAAATTCTCCAAACGTGAAAGTGGCCGAAACAAGTTCTCCAAATGCGAAAGTGGCCGAAACAAGTTTTCTAAACGCGAAAGTGGCCGAAACAAGTTTTCCAAATGCGAAAGTGGCCGAAAAAAGTTTTCCAAATGCGAAAGTCGCCGAAAAAAGTTTTCCAAATGCAAAAGTGGCCGAAAAAAGTTTTCTAAACGCAAAAGTGGCCAAAACAAATGCTCCAAACGCGAAAGTGGCCGAAACAAGTGGTAGGTGTACTGACAAAAGGAAGCGACATTTCAATGATTATAGTGATTTGGATTGCCCCCCGGGATTTGAAAAGCACAAAGTGTGTAAGTAATGCATGCTTTTGTGTGACTGACCAGATTGAGTGACCTTGTAGATTTATTTTATGGCATTGGGGATTGAGTGAATTCTTAAATTATGAGTTTTCAGATGTTGGGATATCTTATAGTAGCAGGTTAAGACTGTCGGATTATAGTTTTTGACTTTGTTGTTGTCTGTTTGGTGTTCTTCCATTTTATGTCAGTGTAATTTTGGAGGGAACAAGATATTGTGAAATTAATTTAGTCTATGCGGAAATTAGCGGTATGTGTTACTTTTTGCCGTCTGCCTTACATTTGTGCCGAATGGAGTTTCTAGTAATGCAGTCGAATATATTTGCTTAAGGATAGATTAATTTATGTTGTGTGTATTTCTAGATAATTGTTGGCGTCACTTTTTTTAGTTTTTAGGCGGAGATTTGAACTTTTCGAATTGAATTTTGGTTAGAATACATCGATATCTGTCGACAATAGATGGTAGCCGAGCTTGATCTGTATCAAAATATGTGATTTTTTATTCGTTAGTTTTATGTGATAAATTATTGAGTTTGCTTTCATTAATTGATCACACTGTCATCATGGTTACTTATAAATTCATGACCCAAGTAGTTCAGTGTAAATTTTGTCATGCATTTTACTTTTGAAGTCGGATACAATTTTTGGGGGCATAGTCATCATATTAAGGGGATGTGTTTCTTTACACTTTTAACAACAGTTTTCTATCAAATCAATTTGAATAGTGTTTATTTTATTATACATTATCTTAATATCAAATTCAAATTAAAATTTTTCAAATTCAATCAAAATAATATATATATATATCATAAAGTAACAGAAGCTAGCAAAGCAAAGCAGGCTGCCTGCCAAAGCCAAAATTAATTTTAATTTCTCAGACAACTTTCTTAGCTAACTCCCACAGCAGATTTGTTGTGTTATGGTGTGTTTCTTTTGATTAAGTTTGGGAAAAATTGGTTTTGGGTTTCATATTAAAATAATATTTGATGAGATATTTTCGAAAAACACACAGTTTAAATAGTAAAATTTGAGAAAATTGTGTTAAAGAAAAACTCTAAAACTATTAATATATATATATATATGACGAGTTTTTCTTCATCATCCTCGGGATTTACTTGTTGATGAGTATAGAACATTTTTTGTACATAGTCATTATATTAAACACATCACTCAAGAAATTTAAATATTTTCATCTCCCTATATCATTCACTAGTGATTAATATTTTCTCGTACTACGAATTCTAGTTATCCTAGTACGAGATATGAGATGAACATCGACAACTAATTGCTTAGGCTCATAGGCTCAGGTACATCTATATCTCCAAACATTAAGAGGCAACTCTAATATAAAATACTTCCTTCGTCCCATAACAAAGTATCCATTTTTCCATTTTAGTCCGTCCCATGACAAAGTATCTATTTCCCTTTTTAGTAATTGTACTATCTACCTAACATTACAAATACCCTTACAACTTACAATATATTACACAAATGTCAATACCTTCATATCACACATACTAATAAGGTTATTTTAGTCATTTCTACTTTATTCCTACTATATCTTAATATAATACTAATATTTCTAAAACTACGTGAAAAAACAAATGGATATTTTGTTTCGGAACGAAGGGAGTATATAACCATAAAAACAAAATGCAAAGACACTCAGAGTGTTTCATTCACTTCATCTTTGAAGTAGAATTTTTATTGAAATTTCAAGATCTCCAAAATTTCAAATTAATTAAAGCCAAATATAAATAAAATAAATTTCAAAAAATTTGTCAGAGGAGAAGCCCGGGAGAGCACCCTCGAAGGAAAGAATTGTTAGAAATATAATAACAATATTATTATATTACAAGAATATAATTTTTGAACTAAATTCAATATCACAATAATTTTATCGAAATAAATTCAATAATCACGTCGATTCGAGATATAACATTTCTTCGTAAAAACGAATACGCTCTGGTAGTGCCTCCGGTTCATAACGTAACGTTCTGAAAGATAAAACGACGTTTGTTTTCGAATCAGGTGACACCCCAATATTTCAGAGTCTGACTAACTAAAATTGTATCGGAAAAGTAAAGCTAGAAGAGTAACCAGAACCGATACCGAAAACTCGCCGAAAGTCTCGACTAACGCCGGAAGAACAAGGAACAAATATCGCCGGAAAGAGATGGGAGAGGGGAAAGCTTTTTTTGGGTTTGTGTGATTGTTGTGTTTTTGAAATGAAGAGAAGTGCCGTATACATAGGCCTCTACCAAAAGTAACGGACAAGGATTAAATTCATTCCAATAAATTGAAATTCAAAATTGCATGCACGTTTCGATGAACCAAATATTGGCCATAATTAGACTTAATTATTGGCATGCTAATTTGAATTTTGTATTCCACAACTTTTATACTTCCTCCGTCTCATAATTAAGTATTTATTTTTTTTTTCACGTAATTTTAAAAATATTAGTATTATATTGGGATATAGTATGAATAAAGTAGAAATGACTAAAATAAGTGTAGTATAAAGGTAATGACATTTGTGGAATATATTGTAAATTGTAAAAAGTAGATAGTACAGTTACTAAAAAAAAAAGAAATGAATATTTTCTTACGAGACCGATTTAAATAGAAAAATAGATAGTTTGTTATGAGACGGAGAGAGTACATCAAAATGCATTACATTCCGCTGGAGTTTATCTAGTGCGCACTTTCCGTAGCGACTGTGAATTTTTACGTTATAAGAAAAATGTATTAAATATATATATATTTTTTTATCGGAGTATTAAATGCACTTTTGTCCTTGTATGAATCATAGTTGCAAGTATTGTGTAATTTCCATGCATCATGCATGCATATTCATGGAATTCAAATACAATCAATGTATTTGTTAAAGTTATATATGCACGTACTACTTTTGCATGCATGCATGCAATTTCAAAATAATTTAGGGTGTGTTTGTTCGTGGGTTTGGGGTTTTGGATTTGAATTTATGACTAATAAAAGGTTGAATTTGAATAGTTGTTTGATTTGATATAAATAGATATTAATGTGATGTTTTGAATATGAAATAAATTTGTAGAATAATATAAAAAATTATTGTTTGATTTGATATTGTTGCAGAAACCAGCTGACTCAATTTCATGTCATGCAATATTAAAGCTATAATTTGGTTCAAATATTCTTTTTCTTTTTCTTTTTATTTATACATCGATCTTTAGAAATATTTTGACAAATACACATCTATATTAATAATGTGTTAAAAGAGTTTGATAATATGCTCATATTTTATATGAATATTAAGGTTGTGTTTGGTATAGAAAAATGAAAAAATAGTCTCATTCCTCTTCTTTGTTTGAGCTTGAGAAATGAAATTTGAGAAATAAATAATTTTCATTTCTTTGTTTTTCATTTCTCTCTCATATGCAGATAAAGGGGAAAGAAATGATGTTGCAATATTTTTTTTATTTTTTTTTATCTTTTTTTTTACTATTTAATTTTTATAATTTTTTTAAAAGTATATTATTTCAATTTTACAAAAATTTAATTTAATTTATTTTAAAGTACTTAAATCTTATGATTTTTAAGAAATTGTACTAAAATATAATCTTAAAAATATAATTTATAATTTTTTTAAAAAAGAATCACCAAAAATATTTTTCATGAATTTTCATTCGTTAAAACTCTTATTCTTATTTGATTCATTCATATATGTAATTTTTTATATATATATTTCTTGACTGAATTCTATTTCTCACCCATTTTATTTTCTATTTCTTATTTCTCTGTGATTCCATTATCAATAACACTCCTAAATTTTGACATTAACTTGAAAATCACTTTTATTAAAATAAAAAAATACATCGCATAAATGAAAAAAAAAAATTAATAAATTTAAATATAATTTAGTTGATAGCCGTTACTTGATTCAATTAGCTGAAAAATTTATTTTTTTATCTAATATATTCAATTATGTTTTTTTTAGTTTAGAATGTTTGAAATTTGTTGTTATTAGTTATTGAAAATTGTAAAAGTGTTATAAAAGTATTTTTTTTTATTATGGTTAGATTTAAAAAAAATAATATATTTTTATTGAAATATATAAATAGTTTTTTCTATTGAAAATAATGTAAAATATAAAATAATAAATTTTTCGTATATATATTTATTATGTTAGTTATCGATTAGTTCATTATATTTATAAATTTCAATTAATTTAATTTATTTTTAGCATAAAATTTATATAATGTAATTTTAATATAAAAATAAATTATTAATATTTATATTTTTTATTTTATGTTGATTTTAATAAATTTATATATTTTACAATAAAATAATTTATATATAAAAATTAATTATTTTAAATTTATAAAAATAAAACTATAAAATAATTAAATATTCTAATATAATTAATAAATAATCAAAATATATTTATTTGTGTAAAATACATAATAAATTTTTAATAGCATATCAGGAATAAAAAAAATTACAGAAAAAATTATTTCAAAAGTTAGCTTTTCACTTTTTGGTAAAAAAAAAAAAAACTATTCCAAAAAATTAATTTACCAAACACCTTAATTAACTCTGTGACTGATCAAACAGCCGTTCAATAAGTTAAAAACTTTTTAAAAAATTATTTTCTAAATGCATATAAATATATAAGTGCAATATAAATTAATGGATAAAGCATTAATATTGGACATAGAAATAGTCCACTTTATAATCCAACACAAATGATAATATATATATGTAAAGTTAAACCCTTACATAAACCTTCTCCTCCCCTGCCCTGCCTCTGCCGCTTTCAGCCGTCCGCCGTCCGCCGTCCGCCGTCGTGTCGGATCAGGTGAATTATTTAGTTGTACTGTTAATGTTTGTTTCTGAATCTATTATTTCAACACATATGACGAGCCAAACACTTATACATTTATTTTATTTTTACGAGCATTTCTAGATACTGTAAATGGATAGCAAGCACAGACCAATTGTTGCCAGTTTCCTGGAAACTCTTCCGGAGGTTGAATTTTGCTGTGTGTATGGTTCCTCCCTCCATACAAACAATTTGGATAAGGTGCGATATTTTTTTCAATTTCTGGTTTTGTTGTGTTATCTTTTTAATATAAAAACTTGATGATGAAGGTTTAACAGTCCATTATTGTTCCAATTTAGAATTTTCTTTTTTATGTTCTGCTTATTGTATAAGTTTTTAATATTGCAGTCGTCCATGATAGATCTCATTCTTGGTGTGGATGATCCCGAGCAGTGGCATGC